GCTTACATCAGTATATATCAGCATATGAAGTTTGACACTGATTTAGGAAAAGTGAGGTCAAAAGGAAAGGTCAAGGTCAAAATGTTGATGCAGTTGAATAACCCTCATCAGTACCGGTATTTATCAGCTAATGAAGTTTGATAAAAATATCTTGGATGGTTTCTTAAAAATTGAGTTAAACATTAATTTAAGAAAAGTGAGGTCAAGGTCAAAGGAAATGTCGAGGTCAAATATGTTGATGTAGTTAAATAGGTCTCTTCAGTATGTATCAGTATATAAAGTTTGATAACACTATCTTGAATGGTACCTTTAAAACTGAGCAAAGCACTTACTTGATAAAAGCGAGGTCAAGAGGTCAAAGGAAAGGTCAAGGTTAAAAATGGTGATGCAGTTGCATAGCTCTCATCAGTATGTATTAACTTGTGATGTTTGATAGTACCATCTTGAACAGTATGTTTAAAACTAAGCTAAACACTAATTTAAGAAAAGTGAGGTCAAGGTCAAAGGAAAGGTCAAGGCCAAAAATTGTTGATGCAGTTGCAAAGCTCTCATCAATATCTATCAGGATGTGAAGTTTGATGAAAATATCTTGGATAGTTTCTTTGAAACTAAGCTTTGAACAGAGCTAAATGCAAAGTGTGATGGAAGGACAGACGGAAGGACAGAAGGACAGACATGACAAACACTATATGCCCCAGCCATATTCATGGCGGGGCATAGGAAACCCCAGCGTCGTTCATACTCAGGAAGTTGACATAGCTTTTCTTTCTTATTTAAGAGACAAGATTTTAATAATGAGCATTTGTATCACATATGTTTATGAGCTCATGACATTCTGTAAGAATTATACTAGAAAATAAGACTTGTAAATGGTTTACTGAAAAGTCTTCTCAAATTAAAAACACTACAAAAAATAAATACAAAAATGTTTATTTATATATATTTATAATAAAAACAAGAGGCCCACGGGCCTTATAGGTCACCTGAGTACCATGTAACAACTTTCCAGCGATTGTATTTGGTTCCTGTTTTAATCCAAAAGCCATGAAATTCACAAATTTTGAAAGAGGCACATTGCTTATCAAAAGTCAGATTTCAAAGCATTAATTTATTTTTAGTCAAAGTACCCCATGGTACCCCTGACCCAGCGGCCCTGAAATTATCTATTTTGAAAGAGGCCCCTTTCTTCATTATAAGGCCAGCATTTTTTTATATTTAGGTTTAGTTATGAACATGAGAATAAAAAAGTCCCGAAGGAGAAGGAAGTAAAAAAAAAATTTGATAAATGAATTATTAACATTTGTACATTCTTCTTTATGCTATCCTAATAGGCTCCTTACCACTGGACACATAATGCTTACAAATAGGAAAGTAGAACATTTAATTGCTTATTTCATCATCTGCCAGTTTGGGCCAATTATATAAATTTTGTGATGTTGATCAAAATATATTTTAAAAAATCAATTCTTTAAAAGTCTTTCAATATAACTACATTTTTTTAATATGTGTTAGGTGAATGTGTAGACATTGTTCTAAAATTTACTTGATGCCTTAAATTATAATTCCTATCATAAAACAGACAGGGAGTATTGGGGAGTAGGGTGAACATTTTTCAATTAAGTGTGAAATAATTTTTCTGGCTGATACAAATGATACTACATGCCTGTATATATTTGTATATAATTATTCTTGCCTTTTAATAGTTGAATTTTTTTTTTATTTCTTCAGGTTATTGTTTATTTCTTCCTCAAATGGACTTAACTTCTCCCATAGTTTTATTCATTACATCTGATGCATAAGCAACCCTTTTCTGAAGAATGATACTGTAAGCTAAACAGAGACCTAAACAATGTCGCTGGCAATATGCAATAGCTACCACGGGCAGTTTAAAACCTGGGGAAGGAAAATAATTTACTAGGGATGTCAACGAATATTTGAGTACTCAACTATCGTTCGATTATACCGACTATCGACTAAAATTTCTTTAGTCGATTATTCGTTAAAAATGTGTTTCATCAAAGTAATTTTGAATTCAAGGCAATAAACTTATATTTGCCCATTTCATTTATTTACAGATCAATATTTTCATATGTAAAATTAAGGGTAAGGTATGACTGTTCAAAGGATATTGTTTGTACGTCGATGTATGTTCGGCAAACATGTCTTCAAAATCTACAGTTTCGGTATAGCTTTAAAAAAGTAAACAGTGATATCAAGGTTATGTGAATATGAACTTTTATTCTGCAGCGCAGTGTAACATTAAACATGATGTATCATATGCCGAATCAGTCAAACATATACACAGTCTTCAAGTGAAATTGTCCTAAAGTAAGTTCTCCGCAAAATTGAAAAAAAAGCTAGATGTAGGGATAGAAAAACTACAAACATGATTACCGTAAATCTCGAAAATTTTCTGTCAGATAAATTTTTAGCAAATTTACGAATTCATGGCATTCGCAAAAATATTTTTCTAAAAATAATTCAACAATAAGAAAATGTAAACAAAGAAGTGGTCATTCGCAAAATTTTGAAACACAAAAATTAATCAATAGCATTTTGACCCAGATTCGCAAAATAAAATTGACGTAAAAATTTCCAGATTTCGGTATTAATGATTGTTCCTCTTACTGTTTTAAATGGAGAGGGCAATTGTTTAGTTTTGTAGATCCTAACTAAGATCTGATGTGATTCAACTATTCAGAAAGAAAAATTTAAAAAGCTATTACATAATTGTAAATACATGTCAACTGGGGGGCATTTTGAATTAATTAAACCGTGTTTTCTTCTTCTGATATTAATTTCACACAATCATTGATTGTTTGCAAAAATTTCATAATGAAAATTTATCCCAAATCTCGCCCTCTCTTTTTTTTATAAGAGACACGCTTTAATTGTTTACCTTAAAGATAATTGACAGACACGTAGAAATTGGCCTCAATTATGGGGGACATGTACTACCGTTATGTAAAGAAAAGGGCAAAAACGAGCGTTTGATATTCTGCATTTAGATAAAATGTGCAGCTAATATATTAATTTTGAAATTAAATACACTGGGTACATGTACATATTGATGTACAGTTTTTATTGTACTATGTACATGTTAACAATTCAGAAATTTTTTGAAATTTTGGGGGGATTAAATATTTAAACTAGTCAGTAAAAGACAAACAGTGAAAATGCTATGAAAAAATAATTAAAATTAAACGAATATTCGACTATCGTTGGCTAAAGCATCCGACTATTCAACTAAGCTTCCAAATAAAATTGAATCCCTATAATTTACAGACAGATACTTTTGAAACAAATACATAATTATCTCACCAGCATGTCATTGTGCAACAAAGTCGAGCATTTTATTTGTCCTTTGAAAGGGTAAACGTTTTGAATGGCACCCTTTTGATGAATTTTACACTAAACCAAGCTATCTTCTCAGATCTAGCTTTTTATGTAAAACCGGAAGTGCGAGTTCGTAAATTTGAAATTCATCCCGACTCAAATTTGACATCGGAAATTTTTTTTTTATTTTTTTCTGAAAAATTTAAAACCTTGAGCAGAAGGTTTGTAAAAATGAAAACAAAATAAATCCTGGGCCCTTTAAAAATGTAATTAATCATTACCTATTAACCAGGAGAAAAGGGTAAATGTTCAAAGAAATTATGATTTACTATATAATCATTAGAGCCCCACACTAAAACAAAAACCCCCACCCCGGGGCCATAAAATTCACAATTTTGGTAGAGGCACTCTTGCTTATCATCACTATATCACTTAGTTAGTTTATTTAATACCCAGGAGCAGAGAAGAAGATTTTCAAAGAATTCATGTATTTTCACTATATAATAATGAGCCCCCCCCTGACACCAGAACCCCGCCCTGGGGCCATAAAATTCACAATTTTGGTAGAGGCACTCTTGCTCATCATAACTATGTACTTAGTTGGTTTATTTAATACCCAGGAGCAGAGAAGAAGATTTTCAAAGAAATAATGCATTTTCACTACCTACTTATTTGCCCCGCCCTAGCACTAGAACCCCTAACCCCAGGGCCATGAATTTCACAATTTTGGTAGAGGACTCATTGCTGATTACAATCATGCAAACAGTTTGACTGCTTGATGTCCAGGAGTAAAGAAGAAATTTTTAAAGATTGCATTAATTTTATGGTTTTTGGGCCCCCCCCCTCAGGCCCCAGGGGGGCAGGGACCATGAAATTCACAATTTTTTTTGTTCCCCTTCATCCACAGATGCTGTATACAAAATTTGGTTGAAATTGGTTTAGCGGTTTCAGAGAAGAAGCTGAAAATGTTCAAATGTTAACACACGACGGACGACGGACGCCGACGGACAAACACGGATGGCAATAGGTCACCTGAGTGACTCAGGTGACCTAATAACAAAGAATTGTTCACAGTAGACAATTACTTGCTTTATATTGCACTGGCTAATCAGAAGTTTACTCACACTACAGAGCATCATGGGAAATCCACAGCTAATCTTGCAATTTTAAAGGTATGCAAGATTGGCCAAGGGTTTCAAAAGATGACTACAGAGTTAATTCATTGAGATATCTTGATTTTCCCTTAAAGATGTGTACCTTACTGACCCATCAAATATACCTACAAGAAACTTGTTACAAGTGACATTTGCTTTATTTTCTCTGGGCAAGCAAACCCTGAACAAAGTTTAAAATACTACGGATATTTCTTTCAGATTGCACACGACTAGGTAAAAGTATTTTAAAACAATTTTACTATACATATGGAGGTAATTTAGTCTAAAGCTGATGTGACAAATAAAATATTAATTTAAAATTTGAACAAAGGAATAAAATTTTTACAATAAAATGTGCAATAAAAACACCACCATTAACTCTAGATGTGTCTCTTAAAATGTACAAAATGTTAAAGGCACTGTATATTTGTTTCTAAAATAACTTTTTCATTGAAATATTTATAAACAGTGCTATGTTATGTTTTTGATCCATGGTTATAAAATGAGTATTTAATACATGTAAAATAAAATCAGCTGATTTATGTATAATTTTCCCCCTCTGGATATCAGCAGGTTGATCAATAACGACAGATAGGAAATTCCTGTCAAGACAAGTTGCGGGGTAAAAGCATAATCGTGGATATCAGGGGTCTCCAGGCAGTCCCCTGTTTGTGATTTTCTCTTGTTTCTCCGAGCACATTTGGGACAGGACTTGGAATCAGACTTGCAGGATTTGTGGAACACAGACTTACATTTGGTACACTGAAAATATAAAACAGGAAGTCTATGTCTGAAAAATTTATAGTACATGTACCACCATACTTTTCTACTTTTATCTGAATTAAAAAATATTTACAAGTTTAATTGAGGTAGGTGCAGTGTTTAAATTTTTTGTTTATTTTGGTTAATTGGATTTGTTGTGCAAAATTATGAAGAAACTGCATAAAGGGGCATAACTCTGTAATTATAAAAAACCTACCCTGATTGTATCATCTGTCTGGAATGGATAAATGACTTTAGGATTGTGACAGAGCTCGCAGATGAACCCCTTCCCACTACACAGGGGACACTCATACACATGCTTTGTGGCAAACTTAATGGACTTCTTCAGACTCTGTGTCAGCTGACCTGAGGGCACTTGTAGCAGATCCTATAAATAGAATGACCTTTAGTTTATCAATATGAACACCTCATTTTGCATTCAAAAATAAGGTTACAAAATAGACAATCTGCATGCAGAACAAAAATCAGATTTGCTTTATTTTGCACTCACAGCTAATGTATAAGTATGAATGCCCTCGTATAAGTATTCCTTTGGCCACATGCTCTTTCTGAATTCATCTGCAGTCGACTGTTTACATGTGAATAAGTACGTCTTCAAATGCAAAGTTGTTTTCCCGT